AAAAAAAAAAAAAAAAAAAGAAAGAAAGAAAGAAAGAACAAACCTTATCATTTGGAAAAACCATTATGTGTTCTGCCCTCAGGTCACCGTGGATGATATTATTATCGTGTAGATATTGTACTCCCTGGGATATCTGGGCAACAAAACTGACGAGCTGTTCTGGTAGATGCTTTTCCGCTAACACTTTCTGCAACAAGCTACCATGTCCTGAGTACTCTGTCACCTAAGTAGTTATAAAAACAACCATAAAGTTGCTGATCTGTGACGTTTATGTAGAGCCGACAGCATATTTTATAATGTCAATTGAAAAAATATTTCTTACTTGAGTTTTCAGTTGATCCTTAGTAAACGTCGTTAAATGTTACTATATTTTACCTATACATCGTATCTTTCCAACTTTCTTTGAAAAAAAAAACTTTTTTTCGCGCTCATCAAGCTTATATTTTGAAGGCTTTGGATGCAATCCCTATGTCGACGATACGGAGGTTATCTTGGAATGCAAGGTAACATATTCAAGGTAACATACGCCGTCCAAGGGGAAATAAACCTTAGTTACAGTAATGACGTCGATTGATATTAACAGCTCACCACAAAAGAATATAACAAAAGATGAATTAAGACGGCACTTCGATCACCTTTACCCATAAAAGAAAGACAAACACACGAAATTCTATAAATTTTCCGTCATCTTTGTTTTGCTTATCCCCCTGGCAAGATGGCCACCGTATCGTCGAAGTAGTGCAATCCTATTCCAGGGACTAAATTTAAGTTGCTTATATAAGCTTACAAATCAACTGATTTTGTGGCATATACACCTAATTGAAAAAAAAAAGTCGGGTTAAAAAAAGGTAATATCATCAAAACTAAGATCGAGGAGGAGCATGGGAAGACAAACAATTATGCTAATTTCATGCTTATTGCAGTTTTCCCTTCCTGTGCACATTTTATGCATCAGGACTTTGGCATGTTGTTAATCTAGGTCGACCGACTTTGCTCTACGGAGCATTTTTACATGTCTATATGCAAATATAATACAAATTTCGGAGTACTCAAAATCCTTTTCGGTCGTATCTTCGATGATCACTGGAAAAAATTACCCATGCATTTGGAATATTTGCTCTTTTCGGTTTTTCTCCTCTCTTTCCAAAGCAAAAGGTTGTTCTTAAAAGTAAAGTTATATAGCACAAGTAAACGGCGTGACAAAACATCTTAAATAGCCCGTAAATTTTCTGTTCTTTCGCTAACTACCGTAGCTGGCGTGTTTTCGAGGCTAGGAAACCTAAGAAATCATAAGAGGCGAATGTATAGGCCAACAGATAGTATGAGCTTATAAAATCAGCAWAAATACGGTTCTAAATTTTAACAAATTCCTATGAATTATATACCAAAATGTTCAGGAAAGCACGGGGTTTTCAAAATCCACTTTTGTTTTTATAGACAGGTTCTTTTTTATATCAATGAGAGACGATTTTCTAGCTTGACCACTGTTATGTCATGCAATTTCTCTTGTAAAATACATCCAATAGCGTTCATTCAACTCAAAAAGTACGGTGTTTTTTTTAAATAGATGTAATAACCCATATAATACAGTCTGTCAATAGTTGAATTAAATGAATCCACTTCTGTTTTTTGCCTAGATAGTCATTATTTTGAGAAAAGATCCAAAAACCGTGTTTTTGAGACATAATTCGTATAGGCTCACAAGAGGGGGCGTGAGCTTGAAATCGTAGCTGACCAAATATTAACAGTTTTTTTCTGATGTGACCTTCTCGAACCCAACTACGTTTTTTCAATTAGGTGTATCCAATCAAGACAACACTCCGTTACTTGATAATTGTCAACAATAATGTTGATGACGATGATTGTGCTACAATTATAGACTTCCACGTGAAATAACTCACCAGTGCAACGTTTTTGATATCGTGATTTGTCAACGAAATGACGCTCACAATGTTTTCATGCTTTAGATGCTTCAGTTTTTCCAAATCGTCTTTTTGGGTCTTCAAAACAAGTTCTCTGATAGCTTTGTACTAAAAAAAAAACATCCAAAAACTATTATTATAATATCATTAATAATAATAAGTATTAAACACTGAATGCAATTAGGCCGCCACTTCATTATCATTAGTTTCAAAATTAATATTTTAATTCAAAAACTATATTTTTATTCTAGATTAAAATTACATAGACAAAGTTAGAAAGTTTAAATTTTTGAGGAGTTAAAAATATGAAAAACACCAGAACGAAGCTTGTAATTTCTCAATTGATTGAACACATAATTCTGATTCCGAATACATAACTTCCCTAGAATTGTATGTATATAAGCAAAATTACATATTTCTGCATGCTTTTTCTGATAGTGTGGTTTTTTAAAAAGATTAGTATTAAATTTTTAAAAATCAATGGCGGCTATTATTGAATTCGGTCCATAATATCATTAAACGGTCAGGCCATAGTGAATAGTATTCCCTTACCATGTCAAAGTTACGAATGGTTGGTCTATCAATTGATGTTGTTCCAGATCCAAAAAAACCCACATTCTTTTCTTTTTCAAGATCCTCAAGTGATTCGATCGAATTTATCTGTGTATTAAAAATATTTCATCGTTATGATCTCGAACATCGCGACAAGCATCTAAAGATATTAAGCGCGAAACCTCCCCCACTCCTCCCCCTCTCCAAAAGAAAAACAAAGTTGTTCCAAAAACATCAAGACACTTTAACTTTACTCAAGGACACTAGGACACTAGGACACGATGACGATGACGATGACGATGACGATGACGATGACGATGACGATGACGAT